ATATATATATATATATATATATCTATATGTCTTGAAAGAGAGACAGCGAGAGAGAGAGGGAGAGAGAGAGAGACACAGAGAGAGAGATTGCAACGTTGTGATAATAATGCACACAAAAAGAGTTAAAACAATTAAAAGAAAATGATGAAGTTGACAATTCAACACTGGAAATACTGAACGTGTACTAAGAATAAAAAACTGAAGCAAATTTCAAGTATTTTCCAATAACGGCCGCCGTCGCTTGGAAATTTCCCCCGTTCCCTTGTTAGGACATAGGGTTTAGGGTTTAGGGCTGCGAGAATAGGAATATAGTTTCAGTGCTAAAGCGAGCTGGTTGCACCTGCAAACGCGCAGCAGCAAGGAGAACTGGGACGGCAAGAAAAATATCATAATGATGGTAATAGAGTTATTCAAGAGGAGCTAATAATTGGTAAAGCTAATAGAGTCACTTATATTGAGTCAAGCAATTAACTAAAATTGAAGGAAATGCAAAGGACAAACCTTCATCCAGGAGCCTGGCACCCTGTTCATGCGAATGTCTTCGACGAGCTTTTCCATCGTAGCAGAAAAAGTTAACTCTCCTTTAAAACCTAGTTCAACTTCAAGTAACGAACGGCTTATTTCCTTCACCAACACGTTCATGCACTGACATTCCTAAAATCAAAAAACTAAACAATTCATTAAACCGCGCTCACAAACCTTAATTGCAACAAACGGAACAACACGAAAAGACGGAGGGGACACTTCTCCGCAGCAACCATACTCAACGCTAGTTCTGAAATCGTGGACCTTAAACCCTAGGGGGTGCCACCTGAGCCCTTAACCCTTGAATTTAGAACGGAAACTCTACACCCAAAACCATAAACCCTTTCGAACCTGCAAGAAAACGTGTTGGTAAGGCCCCTTCTCCTCATCCGGAATTGACTGGCTTATCTCCTCTACGTCAAATCGAGCGTCTCCCAGTTCGTCAAGAATTTCTTTGCAGAGCTGCAGATAAGTGCAGATACACTCCAGGGAGTTGGCTCTCAGGAGTTAGGGCTTAGGGTCTAGGGCATAGGTTTAGGGATTGCTGGGGGCTGTATGCTGCATGAAAAGGCAGAAGAGACGGAGTTGGGTTTTCAACAGACCCCGAGGCCTAAACTTTAAACCCGCTTAAATCTTTAACTCTCGTCAACGCAAAACCCTAAACAACCCTAAACCCCAACCCTAGGAAGGCTAACCATTGACCGGCCAACCCTATACCCTAAACAAGCCCAATCCCTAAATATTAGCGCGAATCCAATGGCGGCGAGCTGAATCTACGTTACCTACAGCGTAACCCCTACACCCTGATCAACTCTAAGAGCGAAACCCTCAGGAACCCCGAACCCTAAACACTATCTGACCGCTTCGCCATCCGTTTCTTTGCCTGCTGTCCCTCCTGCAGAGGCTCCCTCTGACTCTAAAAGGGTTTTGAACAAGTCCTCGCACTGTTGCGTTCTGTATCCGATTTCCGTATTCGGGTGAAGACCAAACGCCAGCGGCGTCTCAGGCGGCATCGAAGCCACACAATCCATGTACCTAAAGAGACAAAAACACAATGAGATACAGATAAAAGTAGATTCTTTTTAAGAGGCACCAAAATATACCTTCTCATTTTAACAACCATCCAAACATATGTTCTCACTGACAGGCGGATGCGCCCACTTCGATAAACATCCAAAAATAGGTGAGGAACATACACATATTCAAACATACAGGTATGCGTATTTTCCTCACTAGAAAGCATTTAAATATACTTTGTTTTCGCATCGATAAGTACCCAGGTGATCTTGCTTATTTACAAGGATCTACAGTTGTATGTACATCCAGGTACACATATGTTTATGTATACTTCCACGGCCTGTGTGCACATATATGTATATGCATATCTACATATATATCTTTATATATATGTATATATGTATATATATGTGGATGCATGCAAGCATAGACAACTTAAATACACATTAGCATAGCAAAAATAATCAAAAAGCTAAAAGGATAAATAAAGATAAATAGAAAAATAAATAAATAAATAGGTAAACAGGTAAATAAGTAGATGGATAGATAGATAAATAGGTAAATAAATGAGTAAATATATATATATATATATATCTATATACATTAGACATGCAGAACCGTATCCAAGCAGCTAAAATTCAAACACAGGTGGATGCCTGGGAAGTAAAGTTTTCCTTAGCACTACCAGCTACTGCAAATGCAAATACCTTTCATAACTCTGGGCCGGAGGGGTTTTGTAGGAGACGCCTTCGTGCTGTTCACAGAAGGGGAAGAGTTCGGCTTCGTCGAGGAGGCGGTCCTGCGGTGATGCACATCAAGAGGGGAGGTAGTAGTGGTATTTACGCTATTATTGTTGTCATTTATACAATTTATGATTTAGGGTTCTGTTCCTTGCGATTATCGGTTCAGTTCTATTTGCTTGACAGGCATTTGAATGATTGCAAACATCATGTTAATGCATGGATGCATGCATGCATCCATTCTTGTTCTCTCCGCGTGCTTGCTTGTACGAAAAACACCAAGAAACCTTACGGGTTCTAATAGAGGGAGTAGTGGGAACAGTTGAGCCAGTATGCATAGGAATAAAAATGCCGTTTTTAGTATTCAACCACATATAGAAGCTCATAGCTGCACGCTGCATGCAATAAAAGCGTGGTGCAGGTGTGCATCTAATAGAAGAAAGCACTTTCTGGAGGTCTGAACTCTTCTGTCAGGTCTCCAACCCTTTGCAAAAGCTCACTCGCATTAGCTGATATACTATGCCGGCCTTAGAAGAAAATTCTAAGGATGCGTTGTATCACGCAGAAGAGACAAGAAGAAAAGAGAAAGGCGAAAGAGATAGAAGACAACGGCGACAGAACAACAACACTACAGAAAAGTCCCTCCCCCCGACAACAATAACGATAATAATCACGAATAATAATAATAATAACAGCAAAGAACAGAACCCTAAACCATATATTGTATAAATGACATCAATAATAACATAAATACCACTACTAACAACGATTCGTGAGCGCCTGTGTACACTCTAGCTAGGAAAGGGAGCAAAGGAACCAAAGCCCGAGGAACGAAGCGGGGGAAAAGTCCTAATGTTTCACTTGCCTGCATGTAGAAGTTCAGGTAAGTGTTGCAGACAAGTCTATCTCTTGGGTCAATGATATGCCCTCCGTACATGATTTCACCAAAGATGTACTTCAGGTCGTCCCAAGGCACTTTGGAGCCGCCTTGCTGCTGCTCCATGTAATTAAACAACACCATTGCCGAGTCACGAAGGTCACCCATCGCGAAAGGATAATTCATATTCCAACCGCGAGGACCAAAACGCTTGCGTTCCAGCAAAACGGCGTGGAAAAAGCAAAGGCCAAATATTATCGCTTTCACCTGAAACACAAACGCCAACCGTTTATGCGTAAAGTTGTAAAGCTGATTTACTATTTACATTTGTATATCGAAAAGCGTTATATATCGATAGCTAATATATATATATATATATATATATACTGTACACCAGTATATGTACATTTGTACAT